TATTATGCTATATACACACATTATATATAAGTATCTACCTGTTTTATTCATCATACCTGTACAAATAAGCTGGTATGGTGCCCAAAGACTATAGTGGTCATCAGTAAACAACATGCCAAGTCGTGCAGACGACGCACCTCCCTCACCAAAATGGCGGCTCTCGACCTACTCCTCTCGCTGTTATCTCGCACTATACACATGTTATATATAAGTATCTACATTTGTGTTCACCATAGCGAACCACTAAGCTGGTATGGTGAGTGCAGTCAATATAAGGTAGCCACACACAGTCAGAAGACGACACCACAACCCTCCCTCCACAGCCTTACTCCTTCCTCCATGGAGCACAGCGCAAAATATCACCACAATCCTGCTATTATCAGAATCCTGGTCAGTTTTATCAAAGTCAGGGGGCTTCAGTAATACTATGAATGCTAAATAATAGCAGTATCATATATATTATGGCATTTGTAGGCAATGCGGTGGTCACAAGCTGAACAGCGGTGCTGTGAGCTCGTGCTGCATGCGCCAGCCTTGGTGGCTTGCTCAATACTGACGCTGTAACACCCAAGAATGTTGGCCTGGATTTTTTTTCTAGGTGGCATCTGGCAACTATCGGTCGTGGCTGTACTATAGCTGCCCCTATTCCAGGCGGGGCGTTTAAATTATAGCGCTAGACACGAAATCATATATATATGATGTGCGCGGTTTCGGTTTTGTCACTGATATCATATATATATGATTTGCGCGGTTTAAGGGTTAAAATGCGCACCTTTATTTTGCGAACAATTTGATACCAAAACGAGTGATGTAACATGAAAATTGATGTTATCAAACTGAACGAGTATACACATTAGGCTGTGATGTGCAAATTAGTGCTCGTTCACGGGTAACTTTAGGCTTTGCTGCAGGGAGTCTCGCCAGGCTTTTGGACATTATATGCATATACATCTGCAGGGAATTTAATTGCGAACACAATGATACCAAAACGAACGACGTAGCACGAGAATTAAGGTGAGAAAACTGAAATGAGTATATACATTTTACTGATTTTGTGCGCTCACGATAACTTTTCCGACTTTAGGCTTTGCTGTGGAGAGTTTTGCCAGGCTATTGGGCATTATATGCATATACACCTGCAGAGAATTTAATTGCGAACACAATGATACCAAAACGAACGACATAGCACAAGAATTAAGGTAAGAAAACTCAAACGAGTATACACATTTAGGCGTCACTGCACGCTCGCCCGCACCATTGACCCTATGACGTCAAAGTCTGCTGAGCGCGCATGGCGCCGGCAATAGTGTTAATATCAGCTTGAAGTTTTTCAATGTCTTCAGCCGAGGTAATTTTCATACTGATTTTTGTATCATCTGCAAAGGATGATATGAAGCTGTGACTTGTATTTTTGTCTACATCTGATATGATAAGAAGGATAAGCAGCGGTGCAAGAACTGTACCGAGGTACAGAGCTTTTAACTGCGCTTGGACTTGATTTTATATGGTTGACTCTTACTCGCTGAGTACTGTTTGACAGAAAACTGAGTATCCAGCATCCTACTTTACCGGTTATTCCCATTGACTTCATTTTGTGTACTATCACTTCATGGTCACATTTATCGAAAGCCTTTGCGAAGTTTGTGTATATCACATCAGCATTCTGTTTTTCTTCTAATGCCTCAGAGACTTTGTTATAGTGATCAAGTAGCTGTGAGAGGCACGATCTTCCCGCTCGAAATCCATGTTGGCCTGGGTTGTGAAGGTCATTGGTCTCCATGAAACTGGTGACCTGACTACTAATCACTCACTCAAATACTTTTATTATGTGCGACGTTAGTACAACTGATCTATAATTCTTTGCCAATGGTTTGCTCCCTCCCTTGTGTAGAGGGGCTACGTCTGGTACTTTAAGTGCATCTGGTATCTCCCCCGAGTCCAAGCTCTTCTTCCACACTATACTGAGTGCCTGTGCTACCGCACTTTGCATTTCTTTATAAATATTGAATTCCATGAATCTGGACCCGGGGCCGAGTGCTTGGGCATGGTTTTAATTTCTCTTTCAAAGTCTAGTACGCTCGTGTTGATATCAGTTATATTTACAGGGGTTTGGTTATCCCGCATAAAGAAATTGTCTGGATCTTCTACTTTCATGTTGTTTATTGGAGTGCTAAACATGTCCTTATACTGTTTTTTTAGGCTTTCACCAATTTCTTTGTCATCCTCCATGTATGAACCTTCACTTGTACGAATAGGTCCAATACTGGCAGTGGTTTTTGCTTTTAATTTCGCATATGTGAAGCAGTATTTTGGATTTTTCTTTATTTCCTGAATTGCTTTCTGCTCTAACTGCCTTTCTTCAGTTTGATATGAGTGTTTCAATTTCCGCTAGATTTCTTCAATCTCCCTATTTAAATTATTCCTTCTTTGACGGGAAAGTTGTGTCTGCTTAAGCATTTCCGTTATTTTTTCCTTCTTTTAGTGTCGTCTGCATTCTCTTTCTACGTTGGATCTCTTTCTGGTTTTCCTCGAAGGAACACGTTTCAGACAGACTTGATACGCTTCCGAAGTCAGTTTTTCTATTCCTTCTATAGGACGTGTATTATTTAGAACAGTTTCCCATGGAATCTTTTTAAGTTCCCTGGGGATCGACGATCCGGCTCCATTTGGACTGCTCCCTGGTGGTTCATTGCCTGAACCAAGTGGGTTCAATGTGGTCCTTGGCTCTTTGGGGTTGGTCGCTTCGAGTGACTCGTCTGCTGAGTTCTTGGGGTTTGGCTCTCCGGGCAGTTCACATCTGGGGGTGGGGGGGTGTCCAACATCCTGGCAGATCGCCTGTCCCAGTTCGTTCCCCTGTCCACGGAATAAACGGACGACACTGACTCCTTCAGTTGGCTCTGCCAGACGTTCGGGCGCCCGGAGGTGGACCTCTTCGTGTCAGGATGGTCGAGGTGTCTTTTGGTATATGTGGCATCCTTTCCCAACTGCGAGACTATCAGGATCGATGCCTTTCGGCATGACTGGCCAAGGTGGGGGTTCCTGTACCTCTTCCCCCCGGTTCAGATGTTGCTCCAGGTCCTGGCTTGCTTGGAGACTTACCAGAGGGCGAGTCATCCTCTTGGCCTCGTGGTGGCCGACCCAGACGTGGTTTCAGGCGCTGCTTGCCCGGTGTTTGAACCCGGATGTTTTTCTGTGGCTCCGCCTCTTTCAGGAGATCGGCCCAGGCCAGTACGAGACTGGTTCACTCTTCTCCTCAAGTCTTCCCATTTGGTGTTTTTGACTCGGGTTTATCATCGTCTCTATGGTGATCAGGTGGCTTCTTTGCTGGTTTCCCACCTGCGGGAGCTTCTTCTCGGCGGCAGTATGAAGTTTCCTGGCGGTCCTTCTGGTTCTTTTTGTCTCTTCGTCCTTACTCTTCGCTTTCGGTTAGGGTGGTGTTGTCCTTTCTCTCTTGGTTGTTCCAGGACAGTCATCTTATGCGTAATACTGTCGCCTCGCATCGTGCGGCGCTGGCGGAGCCGCTGCCGCTTGCTTTCGGTATCTATGTTACTTCTGCATCCTTTTGCAAGCTGTGTAGTGCGTTGTTTCACCACCCGCCTGCTCATGCGCAGCCTGAGCCGTCTTGGTCTTTGGATAGAGTGCTTTCCTATCTTTCTTATCCTTGGTTTGTTGTGACCCCTTCGGTTCTGGATTGTTTTGCTAAGGCTCTTTTCTATTGGCATTACCCTTTGGGGGTCGGGTGGCGGAGCTTCATGCTCTTCTCCGGCGCAGAAGTTTTTTGCTCTTTTGATCGTGGTCATAGGTATATTCGTCTGCAGCCGTCTCCATTTTTTCTGGCACAGAATGAGACTGCTGCTTTCCGGAGGGGTCCTTGAGTTGTTGATGCTTGGTTCGTCAGGCCGGGGATTCATCATGTGTTGTCCGGTTGCGGCCCTCCGCCGTTATCTGTGTGCCACGGCTTCTGTGTCCAGGAACGTGCTTTGGGTTAACCCGGTTTCCCTCCTTCCCTGTTAGCAGATTCAGGGTCTCTCAGGTCGTCCACAGGGTCATTAAGTCAAGCCAGCCTGCAATCTATCCCCGTGCCCATGACGTTCGTAAGTTTGCTGCTCTTGATGCTGTCTTTGGCAATATTTCTTGGGCAGACATTCGGGCACTGGGTTTTTGGCGGTTGAACAGGGCCCTGAATGCACGAGGTAGGGGCCCAGTCGGGCCTGTGTCACTTTGGGTTGGCGGTTGTAGCCTGTTGTTTCAACTTCGAGTTGAGGAGTGGAGCACCGACCGCCTCCCGGGTAGGTCCCTTTTCTCTTATTTTGTCTTGAGTGAAGTAGTTCCAGGGAGCTGTAAAGACTCCCCCCAGAAAACCAGCTTTGAATTTAAAGAAATGCCATTTTCTGGGTGAGTCCCGGAGGCTCCCCGGCGACCCTCCCTCCCTTCAGTAGTTATTTTTTTTTTGTATTTTTTATATCCAGCCTCAGAACTGGGGAAAGGATCGCCGGCACAGGGGGTCTGGGGCTCCCCCTTCCCCCTCCCGGGGAGTGGGGGGGGGGAAATGCGCAGACATGCGGCGTGGCTTGTGTGACGTCATGCTTGTTTGCTCGTTTTTCTTTTGGGGAGTTCTGTCCACTCGTTTGATGATTTTCGTTGTTAACCAGAATAGGAGTTTGCTTTGAGGCACTTACCTTTCTGGGTGCCCGTCCCAGTCGACGGCAGATATAGAATGCTCCAAATCACATACGCATTTCTATCCACCATTGCTCTTCATGCCTCTGTGATGGGGCCCAGGTTCTGGCTCGTGGTTCCCAATAGGCCTAGAACTCCACCCACATCGACTGATGCAAAAGAGTTAGGGTATCCATATCAGCCATGGATAGCTCCAGGGAGCCGTAGGGGCTCCCCCCAGAAACTCTTTACACACACACACACACACACACACAGTTCAAAACAGAAGCCTCTATAACTCAAAACAAAAGTACTTTGCAACAAAAAATCTCTATTCTTACTTTATGAACTGATTCATTAATTCACTAAGTTCTCCTTCAGTAAGTGTTGAGGATGACAACTTCTGCCTAAGAGCTGATGCAGCAGGTTCATCTCCATTGATTCTCAAGAGATGACCGGAACTGCTAGACACCATTGACACCCTGGCATGAGGCCGAAGAAGGGGATAGAGTGCTCGACATACTGCAAGTGTGCCAAAATAATTCACCCTTATTGTGTTCTCTGCTTGTTCTCCAAATGATTCAGTTGCCGCTACCTGTTGTAATATAAAGAGAACTAAATATTACAAAAAGCTTAAAATACACTTACACAATGAACTGATTCATAAGTTCTCCTAGTTCTTGTTCTGTTAAAGTTGGTGATGCAAACTTCTCTCTGAGTGCTGCAGCTTCAGGTTCATTACCATTAATTTGTAAAAGGTGGCCACAGGAGCTAGAGACTGTGACCACCCGAGCGTGAGGTCTGAGCAGGGAAAAGAGACCATGGCAAACTGCTAAAGTCCCAAAGTAGTTGACTCTAATGGTATTCTCAGCTTGCTCTCCAAATGGTTCTTTTGCTGCATGCTGTTAATATATATGTAAACAATTATAAATATGAATAAAGGCAATTCTATAATTACTATATTTCTAACATTTCAAAATACAGTATCCACTCTATTTAACAACCTATATGGGGCTATAAACAGGTCATTAAATCCAGGAATCCACTAAATCCGGAGGTTTTAAAATGTTGGAAACCTTTTAATGACATTTGGGGGCGCAACTGGATGGTGGTAGGCTGACTGGCTGGGTAACTGGCTGGCTAGCAGACAGGCTGCCAGGAGTGGGGGTGGGGGGTGGGCAATTGACTGAATGGCTAGTAGGCAGGGTGGGTGAGTGGATGAATTTGTTTGACTAGACCACACACTAAAAGGTGAAGGGACGACGACATTTCGGTCCGTCCTGGATCACTCTCAAGTCAAGGGATGGATTGGTTACTGACTGGCAGGCAGGGTGAATGGATTTGTGGCTGACTGGTGAGTGGATGGGCAGGTGGGAAGTGCAGGCAAGTGGGAAGAGAGTGGCCAGGTGGGAAGAGAGTGGCCAGGTGGGAAGAGAGTGGGCAGGTGGGAAGAGAGTGGGCAGGTGGGAAGAGAGTGGGCAGGTGGGGAGAGAGTGGGCAGGTGGGAAGAGAGTGGGCAGGTGGGAAGAGAGTGGGCAGGTGGGAAGAGAGTGGGCAGGTGGGGTAGAGAGTGGGCAGGTGGGAAGAGAGTGGGCAGGTGGGGAGAGAGTGGGCAGGTGGGGAGAGAGTGGGCAGGTGGGGAAGAGAGTGGGCAGGAGGGCCAGGGGGAGAGAGTGGGCAGGTGGGGAGAGCAGGTGGGAAGAGAGTGGGCAGGTGGGGAGAGAGGTGGGCCAGGTGGGAGAGAGAGTGGCCAGGTGGGAAGAGAGTGGCCAGGTGGGGAGAGAGTGGCCAGGTGGGAAGAGAGTGGCCAGGTGGGGAGAGCAGGTGGCCAGGTGGGGAGAGAGTGGCCAGGTGGGGAGAGAGTGGGCAGGTGGGGAGAGAGTGGGAGAGAGTGGCCAGGTGGGAAGAGAGTGGCCAGGTGGGAAGAGAGTGGCCAGGTGGGAAGAGAGTGGCCAGGTGGGAAGAGAGTGGGCAGGTGGGAGAGGTGGGGGAAGAGAGTGGCCAGGTGGGAAGAGAGTGGCCAGGTGGCCAGGTGGGGAGAGAGGTGGGAAGAGAGTGGCCAGGTGGGAAGAGAGTGGCCAGGTGGGAAGAGAGTGGCCAGAGTGGCCAGGTGGGAGAGAGTGGCCAGGTGGGAGAGAGTGGCCAGGTGGGAAGAGAGTGGCCAGGTGGGGAGAGAGTGGCCAGGTGGGAGAGAGTGGGCAGAGAGAGTGGCCAGGTGGGGAGAGCAGTGGGCCAGGTGGGAGAGAGAGTGGCCAGGTGGGAGAGAGAGTGGCCAGGTGGGGGAGAGCAGGTGGGGAGAGAGTGGGCCAGGTGGGAAGAGAGGTGGGCCAGGTGGGCAGGGGAGAGCAGGTGGGGAGAGAGGGCCAGGTGGGAAGAGAGTGGGCAGGTGGGGAGAGAGTGGCCAGGTGGGAGAGAGAGAGGGCCAGGTGGAAGAGAGCAGGAGTGGCCAGGTGGGAGAGAGAGTGGCCAGGTGGGAAGAGAGTGGCCAGGTGGGAGAGAGTGGCCAGGTGGGGAGAGAGTGGGAGTGGCCAGGTGGGGAGAGAGTGGCCAGGTGGGAGAGAGAGTGGCCAGGTGGGAAGAGAGTGGCCAGGTGGGGAGAGGTGGCCAGGTGGGAAGAGAGTGGCCAGGTGGGAGAGAGTGGCCAGGTGGGGAGAGAGTGGCCAGGTGGGGAAGGTGGGCCAGGTGGCCAGGTGGGGAGAGAGCAGTGGGAGAGAGGCCAGGTGGGAAGAGAGTGGCCAGGTGGGGAGAGAGTGGGCCAGGTGGGAGAGAGAGTGGGCAGGTGGGGAGAGAGTGGCCAGGTGAGCAGGTGGGGAGAGAGGTGGCCAGGTGGGGAGAGAGAGGCAGGTGGGGAGAGCAGGGCCAGGTGGGAGAGAGAGTGGCCAGGTGGGGAGAGCAGAGAGAGGGCCAGGTGGGGAGAGCAGGAGTGGCCAGGTGGGGAGAGAGAGGGCCAGGTGGGGGAGAGCAGGTGGGCAGGTGGGGAGAGAGTGGCCAGGTGGGAAGAGAGTGGGCAGGTGGGAAGAGAGTGGGCAGGTGGGCAGGTGGGAGAGAGAGAGGGCCAGGTGGGGAGAGAGTGGCCAGGTGGGGAGAGAGTGGCCAGGTGGGGAGAGAGTGGCCAGGTGGGAGAGAGTGGCCAGGTGGGGAGAGAGTGGCCAGGTGGGAGAGAGAGTGGGCCAGGTGGGAGGTGGGAAGGAGTGGCCAGGTGGGAAGAGAGTGGCCAGTGGCCAGGTGGGAAGAGAGTGGGCAGGTGGGAAGAGAGTGGCCAGGTGGGGAGAGAGTGGGCCAGGTGGGAAGAGAGTGAGCAGGTGGGCCAGGTGGGCAGGGGGAGAGAGTGGCCAGGTGGGAGAGAGTGGGCCAGGTGGGAAGAGAGTGGGCAGGGGCCAGTGGGCCAGGTGGGAGAGAGTGGCCAGGTGGCCAGGTGGGAGAGAGAGTGGGAAGAGAGTGGCCAGGTGGGAGAGCAGGTGGGGAGAGAGTGGCCAGGTGGGGAGAGCCAGGTGGGAGAGAGAGTGGCCAGGTGGGGAGAGAGTGGCCAGGTGGGAAGAGAGTGGGCCAGGTGGGGAGAGAGTGGCCAGGTGGGAGAGAGTGGCCAGGTGGGAAGAGAGTGGCCAGGTGGGGAGAGAGTGGGAAGAGAGTGGCCAGGTGGGGAGAGAGTGGCCAGGTGGGAAGAGAGTGGCCAGAGAGTGGCCAGGTGGGAAGAGAGTGGCCAGGTGGGAGAGAGTGGGCCAGGTGGGAAGAGAGTGGGCAGGTGGGAAGAGAGTGGCCAGGTGGGAAGAGAGTGGGCAAGTGGGAAGAGAGTGGCCAGGTGGGGAGAGAGTGGCCAGGTGGGGAGAGAGTGGCCAGGTGGGAAGAGAGTGGGCAGGTGGGAAGAGAGTGGCCAGGTGGGGAGAGATCGGGCAGGTGGGAAGAGAGTGGCCAGGTGGGAAGAGAGTGGCCAGGTGGGGAGAGAGTGGGCAGGTGGGGAGAGAGTGGCCAGGTGGGAAGAGGTGGGCAGGTGGGAAGAGAGTGGCCAGGTGGGAGAGAGTGGGCAGGTGGGGAGAGAGTGGCCAGGTGGGAGAGAGAGTGGCCAGGTGGGAAGAGAGTGGCCAGGTGGGGAGAGATCGGGCAGGTGGGAAGAGAGTGGCCAGGTGGGAAGAGAGTGGGCAGGTGGGAAGAGAGTGGCCAGGTGGGAAGAGAGTGGCCAGGTGGGAAGAGAGTGGCCAGGTGGGGAGAGAGTGGGCAGGTGGGGAGAGAGTGGCCAGGTGGGAAGAGAGTGGGCAGGTGGGAAGAGAGTGGCCAGGTGGGGAGAGAGTGGGCAGGTGGGGAGAGAGTGGCCAGGTGGGAAGAGAGTGGGCAGGTGGGAGAGAGTGGGCCAGGTGGGAAGAGAGTGGCCAGGTGGGAAGAGAGTGGGCAGGTGGGAGAGAGTGGCCAGGTGGGGAGAGAGTGGCCAGGTGGGGAGAGAGTGGGCCAGGTGGGAAGAGAGTGGGCAGGTGGGAAGAGAGTGGCCAGGTGGGGAGAGAGGAGGGCAGGTGGGAAGAGAGTGGCCAGGTGGGAAGAGAGTGGCCAGGTGGGGAGAGTGGGCAGGTGGGGAGAGTGGCCAGGTGGGAAGAGAGTGGGCAGGTGGGAAGAGAGTGGCCAGGTGGGGAGAGAGTGGGCAGGTGGGGAGAGAGTGGCCAGGTGGGAAGAGAGTGGCCAGGTGGGAAGAGAGTGGCCAGGTGGGGAGAGAGTGGCCAGGTGGGGAGAGAGTGGCCAGGTGGGAAGAGAGTGGGCAGGTGGGAAGAGAGTGGGCAGGTGGGAAGAGAGTGGGCAGGTGGGAAGAGAGTGGCCAGGTGGGAAGAGAGTGGCCAGGTGGGAAGAGAGTGGGCAGGTGGGAAGAGAGTGGGCAGGTGGGAAGAGAGTGGCCAGGTGGGGAGAGAGTGGGCAGGTGGGGAGAGAGTGGGCAGGTGGGAAGAGAGTGGGCAGGTGGGAAGAGAGTGGCCAGGTGGGGAGAGAGTGGCCAGGTGGGAAGAGAGTGGGCAGGTGGGGAGAGAGTGGGCAGGTGGGGAGAGAGTGGGCAGGTGGGAAGAGAGTGGGCAGGTGGGGAGAGAGTGGGCAGGTGGGAAGAGAGTGGCCAGGTGGGAAGAGAGTGGGCAGGTGGGAAGAGAGTGGCCAGGTGGGGAGAGAGTGGCCAGGTGGGAAGAGAGTGGCCAGGTGGGGAGAGAGTGGGCAGGTGGGAAGAGAGTGGCCAGGTGGGAAGAGAGTGGGCAGGTGGGAAGAGAGTGGCCAGGTGGGAAGAGAGTGGCCAGGTGGGAAGAGAGTGGGCAGGTGGGAAGAGAGTGGCCAGGTGGGGAGAGAGTGGGCAGGTGGGGAGAGAGTGGCCAGGTGGGGAGAGAGTGGGCAGGTGGGAAGAGAGTGGCCAGGTGGGAGAGAGTGGCCAGGTGGGAAGAGAGTGGGCAGGTGGGGAGAGAGTGGGCCAGGTGGGAAGAGAGTGGCCAGGTGGGAAGAGAGTGGCCAGGTGGGAAGAGAGTGGCCAGGTGGGAAGAGAGTGGGCCAGGTGGGAAGAGAGTGGGCAGGTGGGGAGAGAGTGGCCAGGTGGGAAGAGTGGGCCAGGTGGGAGAGAGAGTGGCCAGGTGGGAGAGAGAG